TGTCTGTATTCACAGCTCTGGGACAGGATGTAGCACACAGTGGGCCCCAAAAAACGTTTGCTGGGAACTTCTTAACCCACTTCAGAGATCTGCTCTTCTACTTCCCTTCCTTGTCTCTTCTCTACAGTAGAAGAATTTTATATAACTGGGACTTTTGAGAGCTGCTATAATACCAGCCACCATCACAGATGCACCTAACGCTGGATTTCTGGTGAGAGTTTCACTATGCCTCTTGAAGTGTACCTAGGTACACTAGTAAAGATTGGCATCAACTGTCAGCCCACCTTTTTGCTCTACAGGCAGTATTTTCTGTGTTTACTGGGCAGAAGTGTTAATCTCTAAATTAGTCAGTGTTCCATTACTATAACAAAGTACCTGAGACTGGGTATACTAGTCAACTTTTCATCACTGAGAAAATACCTGTCATAAATCAACTTTAAGGAGGAAAGATTTATTTTGGCTCACAGTTTCAGGGCTTTTATTCCCTGGTCAGCTGTATCCATTGTTTTTAGGCCTGTGGTAAGGCAGAAACACCATGGTGGAAGGGTGTGGTAGAGGAAAGCTGCTCACCTCATGGAAACCAGGAAGTAGAGTATGAGCGAGCCAGAGAGGAAGTGACTGGGGACCAGACATAGTCCTAAGGCTCATGCTCCCATGATCCACTTCTTTCATGTAAACCCCCCCCATTTCTATCACCTCCTAATAACGCCATCAAATTATGATTCTATCACTGGATTAACCCACTCAATGAAGTTAGAGTCCTCATGATCCAATCACTTTCCCAAAAGCCAATCAGCTTGGAATCAAGCTTTTAGCACAGTTTAGTGTAGAAAGTGCTATGAGAGTTAGCATGAAACAGACACTAAAATGAGAGTTCAGAAACAAGGGACCTTAGCCAGGCAAGGTTGGGAAGTCAGAAAAGACATCTGGGAGAGTTGTTGCCTAATTTTAAATTACTTGATTTCTCTGTGTCTCCATTGCTTTATCAGTAAAAGGAGATTGTAATAAAAACCAACCTTACTGTGTTGTTGTGAGGATTAAATGAATAACTGTATGTAGAAAGCATATAACAGTGCCTAGTGCACTTGGCCCTCTGTATCTGTAGGTTCTGATCCATGGATTCAACCAACTATAGGCTGCAAATTCAGAAGGGTTGGGATTGTATCCATATTGAATATGGACAGACTTTTTTCTTGTAATGATTTCCTAAACAATACAATATAACAATTACTTACATAGTACTTTCATTGTAGTTGGTATTGTAAGCCATCGACTGATAATTTAAAGTACGCAAGGGCATGTGGCTAAGTTAGATGCTATTTTATTTTAGAGTCTGTAAGAGACTTATGCATCCATGGATTTTGGTGAGGCATCCTGGAACATATATATTTTGTACACCTTCTGGCTTCTCTGAGGCCACTCTACAAAGAAGTCTATACAAGCACTGGAGGATGAAATCATGGAACAGAGAGGAGTCATGCCACCCAAGGCCCCATATATATCAACCAGTCCCCAGCCAACCCACCAGCTGACAAAAGCCACATGAGTGGACCCAGGTGATAGTAGCAGAACAACCACCCAGCTGAGCACAGCCCATATTGCTGACCCATAGAATCATAGATAATAAAATGGTATGTAGGTTAAACCACTATGTTTGGGGAGGTTGTGATAGACAGGGAAGTGTGGTATGCAGCAGAGACTTGATGAACAGGTGTCTTGTCAAGACACTACTTCAGCATTTATGATAACAGCTGATGGCCTGGTAGAGAGTGTCTTCTTGTTCTCAGTATCAGAGGAATTTGGAAGAAGTTCCCCATCAGGGTGGTTGGTGATTCTGGAAGTATAAGGTAACTATCCTTCCAGGACCAAAGAAGCAGCGTAAGCAGAGTAGCAGCCCCAGAAGGAATGCTTCCCTCCACCAAAGCCATCAAGAGTTTCCAGGCTGTGGAGGCAGCAGCTAAAGCTGAGTCAAACCCAAGCCTGCTGCTTGGGAATGGAGCTGATAATGGTAATGGGGGTGGGTGGTGCATGGAGAAGAAGCAAGATACCCCTGCAATGTGAGAGTGTGTATCAGGTAGGATTGCTGGAGAGAAAAAAAGGAACACCCTTAAAAGGTCTATGTGAAGAGAATAAAAGAGATTTCAGTATTAAAGAGAACAAAGAGGAGATGGTGAAGGACTCAGGGATAGCATTGGTGGAGAGCCACTTGCACACCTGGCCTGAAGGAGAAAAAGTAAGAAAGGAGGTGCAGGGCTCAGTAGAGTCCGAGCTGTGTAAGGAGGCTGGCTGATAGGAGTGCTGGCTGGAGAGAAATAGAAACAACTGTGGGAACTACATTGCAGAGACAATGTAGGATGAGGTGGATCTGAGGGGAAACAGACTTTCTAGCATAGAAAGTGAATCATTTGTTTATTTTTCAGAAGTCTATGTGGCCTCTGGTCAAATGCACATACAACCATCGGAAAGTATATTTGAGGCAAATAGTAAAAAGGGGCATAAGACTGAGACCCAGGAAACCTGGATTCAAATCTTACTCCTCCGATTTCCTGCTGGAGACCATGGTTGTCACATTATAGACAGCTAAGTTAGGTAGAAATATTCTAGACAGTCAGGGCTAGGTCCTCAAGGAAGTCGGTGCAGAGGATGAAAACACATTACAACTATGGCCAAAGGTGCATTGTTGAAGGCCAGGCCTCAAGATAAAGATGGAATGACCAGGCCTACATGCTTCCCCAAGGGATAAGCAATATACTATAATTGGTATCACCTGGTCTAATAATGTCTAGATAGACATCAGTCACCAAGGTGGGTGACCAGGACTTCCTGATCCATCCTTCCCTAAAAAGATTCTTGTTCTTTCCATGTACACTTGCTATATGACTTGCTTCCCTATTGGATCTACATTAACTAAGCAGCCATACTTGTAATCTTATTGGTTGATCATAGTTTTGACCCACATTGTACCTACCTCATTATTTTGCTCTATAAATCTTCCTCTGAGAAGTGGGATCATTGGCAACCTACTTTTGGGCCTCCTCCTGTCTCTCAGGAGCTATCTCTCTCAATAAAGTGTCCCTATTCTCAATCTTTTTTGTCCCTTAGAATTCATTCTTCAGTTCTGGGGAACATGAACTTGGTGTATCTGACATCGAGCGGGTCGGGAGTTATATTATTTCCCCTACATCAACCACATCTGCTAGAGCCCCTGTAACGGGAGAAACAACATGCCAGTTGTCCACCCAAAACAGCTGTTCTTTGTCAAAAGAGCTTCTCAAACGACAAAGTGCTGAAACAGGCCTTGATTACTAAAGCATTATAGCATGTTTCAAACTCTTCAGCCCCTTTCACTGAATTCCTCTCCCATCTCCTACTATTCCTCTCCAATCCAGCCACAGAAACTGCCCTCCTGGTGAGGCAGGGTAAAAATATAAACTAGGCAATAAATAAATAAATACAAAGAACGAAGGAAGGAAATCAAGATTTAAAAGTTGTACTTAAAAAAAAATTGCAGCTTCAGGACACATAAGTTACTGGAGCCTTTTTTCCCTTCCAGGAAACTCACTAAAAAATAAAATAAAATAAAATAAAAATAAAAAATCCTAAAGCTCTTAAGGACACAATAAGCCTGAAAATGGGCTGTTTTTACCTATAAATTGAACTTTCTCCATTCCCAGGAAGCAGCAATTTTAGTGGTCGGCAGATCTCAACATCAAACACATGTGGATAGGTTGTACACAGTATAACCTGTATGCATACACATCCTAAATCACCCACCTGTGTTACAGAAAACGCCTCCCCCCAAGCCAGTATACTTCAGTTTCTTAATTGCCCAGGTAATAGTTCCTGTTGCCGTTCAGATTGCTTCTGTCTCCTAGAAACGGTTGGTCACTGTGATGCATAGCTGGTCACCGTGATGCATATTGTAAGAACCAATCCCCAACTGACAAGCCATTCTGCCTCTACATCCTGCTTGCTTATCCCATATAAGCCCTAGGCCACCAGAGATCAGGGCCTGATATTTTGGGAATGCTCCCAATTAGTGCCCCTTAACGCAAATAAATCTGCCTCCAAATGCTGGGTATCATTTCACTTTGGCGTTTCTGCTAGCCATCGCATTTGAAGACACCCCCCAAAATGTACCCAACTCCGGCTCATACTGTCTCATATCTGAGTGACCACATTCCTTACTATTCCTGAATAAACCCTCTCCCTTCCCTCGTCTCTTACTGACATTTTGAGAAATGTTTTTTTTTTGGGGGGGGGGTTTTGTTTGTTTGTTTTTCTCCGGTACCGGGAACCGAACTCACGACCTTGCGCTTGCCAGGCAGGCGCTTTTTGCCGCTGAGCTAAATCCCCAGCCCCCTTG